AGCCAATCTCTACCAAATCCAGGAGTCATCTAGGTAACACATAGCATGTGGCTCGCGACCTCGTGGGTCACGCCCAGTGCCTCGAAAGTGACTTCAGGCCTCGGACGAAGCTGGGTTTGTAGAGCATCTCTGGCATACTGATTTATAGCTTCGTAACAGGCACCATACGAAAGTGCACACCATTCCGCTTTCAAATAATTTCTTGTTATTAGCAAAGAGCAAGGGGAAAGTATGAGCGACAATATCTAAGTTGTTCACAGTTTCTTGTGGATGGAAAACTGCTGCTTTGAACTAGACTTTAATTATTGTCAGGAAATTTATAACAAACAAAAATCTTGCAGGTTATTTTTGGGAAAAGCCACAACCAGAATATGTCGGTGATGTCTTTCCCCACGTCTTGAACAATATCTTAACGCGGTGAATTTCTCTCGAAAGCCACGTGAGAGAACCAATTCCCCCGCCCCCTGATGTGTCAAAAGATATCAAACTGATTTTAGCTGTTACATGTCAAACAGAAACTTGCTCTCTGACCTAACTTTTCTTTACACAAAGAGGGTTTGAAGAGCGTGAGTGGTGAACTCATGAATTTAAATAAAGCTAAACTTATTGAACCATCTAAACCAGGCATTCTAAAGACCTGGGTTCTGTGGTGTGCCTGTTAAAAAATGACTCAGGGCGCCAAAGACTGAGCGGGGATGGAGACCACTCAAAGACGTACTGTGGGGAGTGGCATACAGTACATAAGTTAAAATTTTGCGTCACAGTTAGGTAATATTTTGTGACAAAATATACCTGGAATACGCCTTCTACGTAACTGAGGTAAGACACGCCCTAAGCGGTGATGGGAGAGTGGGATGTGGGGTGCCAAGACAGTGACAGTGGAGATATGCACATGAAACCACATTCATAGATTCCACATTCATGAACTTGATACGGCACGACATCCTTGCGGGCATACTTAAACGACTGATTATTAATAAAGTTGACAATTATCTATGTTGACCTGGCATGACATAGGTTCGCCTGTTACGACCTCATGTAACGATTCTGAACCCATGCCACGAGAGGATCGTGGGAGATCGATCATCATCGGGAAGACCAACAAGCGTCCGAATTTGAACATTTCGGTGGTTGCGATAACACTAATGACACCATTTAGCATAACCTAGCATGACCCGGTCCGCCAGGACGTGACAAAAGATAGGTTTGGCGCTTGTTGAGGAAACCGAGAGCTTTCAGGTCGCCGTTACAATTGGTTTCAGCGCTGTGCCAGGAAACCAGTAGTGGAAGAGCATGTCTCCCAGTATCTCGCGGGTTAACCTTCATAATGCTTGAAGAGCCACGTAGTGATGTGGCGTCATACCACTGCTCACCAACGTAACGTTTTGTTTTTTAGAGGATTTTATGACCAACATGTCTGCTATGACCGCCTCGGACTGGTAACGCCTCTGCGCCGCCCTTCGCCAGACGCACCTCTACGCACGGTGGTGTTCCACAACATCCCAAACACTAAAAACTGGCGAGAGGTCAGATGCGACCAGGCCGGGCTCTGGGGCGAAGGTCATCTTACGCACGCCTAGAAGTGGATGAAAGCTGGAACCTGACGGGCAAATGTAGTGTGCGTGGCATGCTCGTTCGGCCGTTTTTACCAGGACTTTTTGGTTTAAGCTGTGCTAACATTAATAAAGATTTGAATGACTTCTGAAGCGTGTTTTGACATAAAAACAAATGATGTTGCAAAATCAGCCTCCGAAAAATTGTTGGGAGACTGGGTGCTAGGCCGCAGGCGTTGTTGTCTGGCGATATAGACATCTCCGCAACCCGAGCGTGCCTATTGCACCCGTCTCTGATCCTAGACATTATTTTTCCGATAACAAACTCACCATTTGCCACTGGGAGCAGGCATTCATCATTTGATGTTAATTTTGCGACCTTGAGTCACCCTGATAAAGTCTCCAATGAAAAGGCAGGTACGAAATAATCGTACTGCTCCGCTCTTCAATCATAGAGGTTACCTTAGTTTGGTCATAGCTTTATTGGCGTCAAATGAACTGTACACACTTTTCTTTTGTTCCTCTCGGAGTTTTTTAAACGTCGTTAAAAGACTCCTATGAGTGGTAATAAGAGACAAGGATAGGTAATTTTGCAACGTGCATGACGTAGATTGGTTCCAAAACATAATGGCATGTGCATTAAACAGGAAGAACACTCGAAGAAGCTTCCAGAGCCTCAAACTGCGCGATAGAATGCACGTAGAACGCTGGCTTTCAGTTGATCGAGTCAATAGATGTTCGAATCTAAATGCGTTTATTCCGTCATCATGATAAGATACTTAGCTGCTGCCCTCCGAAAGCGTTATGTCAACATGGTATTTACATCAATCTCGACCAATTTAGCATGCCGTACGGTATACCCCCATCACATGCATCTGTCTCATACCATTATCACCCATTGGACGACGCAAGCGCGCAGCCCTCGTTTATAATCGGGGCGATATAAAAGGGAAGTCATAAAGTTTAAATTGGCACCATAGGCTAAAAAGCGAGCTAATCTGGAATGTGCAATTGGGCTCGGCAGGCAGCCGACAATCATCTATTGTTTATTGCCCTTGGCCTCTTCGTTGCGGGATCCAAGGTGAGCATAATGAGCAGGCCAAATGGGCCCAGTTAAATAGACTACTATCACGGCACTCAGGAGTGCTCTGTGGTGTAATAAAAATATTCTTCTGGACGCCTTTTGTTTGTATATGGTTGCGCAGTGGCTTGAAGGTCATCGCCGTGGCCTTACGTACGCAAAGTCATGCATTATAATGGCACTGAACTTTTGTTTGTAAAGTTATTTCACTTCGGACTTGGACTTGTGTTTCAGGGTGTGAATGTGATGTGAGAACTCCTCGGCCTCACAGTGCATAATGTAAGGGAGGAATGGGTGTTGCGACGTTCACAAACCCCGCGGCGACAACAGCCTCTGCGCAGCAACGCATTATTTTGACCCTGTATCACTTGCGCTTGCGTAAGGAACCGAGTCCACGGTGCTGTGGTGTATCTGTCGTGAGTTCGGCTGGTCGCACGGCCGTCCCCGCCCTGACCGGACCAGACCTCGGCCACCTCCACGCGTCCCGTGTGACTGGATGGCCGCGAGCCGGGCAGCTGCGACCGTCCTCGGTCGCAGCAGCATCGGTCGTCCTCCGCCTGCCTCATCGTATACCCATGACGAGGAGTGGGCTAAATAGTTCGTATGGTCAATCAAGATGGAACAGGCACAGCATATCTCAGTCAAGATAACGCTACCAAACACTCGTGCGCATGTGCGTTGTATGCGTGTCTGTCTACGTCGGCATGTGTCCACGCGCGGGCTCACGCGAGCGCGCGGAAGGACGGCCAGGTGCGGACTGCGGTCACCATGAGTTCCGTTGGAGCTTGGGAACGTCAGCGACGCCAGGGCCAGCCGTGCGATACACATATCGGCTCTGGCGACGCCAGATCAACGCCGCATCTGAAGTTCAGCTATTTGAGGACTCTTTCAGCAGACAGATCGCAGCATTGATCAAAGGTCTCGACTTGTGAAGTTCTAAATGTCGTGAAGCCTCACTTCCAGGCCGTCCATCCACGAGAGAACGCGTACCGATGCGAAATGAGAAACTCATTTCGTCTCAGTTTGTGACCATCTTTCAACAGCTCGGCTGCTAAATAGCCTTCGCGATGGTTAACACAGCAATCTAATTTTAGTGACGTATTTCCAAGGCGGACCAAGTGGAATATGCATGGAACGCTTCACGCACGAAATTCACACTAATTGCCAATTTACCGCCATGCATGTAAACGTCGTACCCACTGCTTGTTAAAGAACAAAGCCGCTTCGCACGCCTCGGCGAAGCAGCTGAACTGAACGCATCAATAAAACAGCTCTGGCACCTCATTTTCTTCGGTGGGGCGTGACAGTTACACTTGCGAGCCCCGGATGGGCGGCGGCGACGTCGTGACGCACGGCGCAAGGGGCGGAGTCAACTCCAGCGGGCAAAAGTTAATTGGTCGAGCGCCTTATCAGGCCCGGATTGCAGTCATAATGGCGTGAATTGAGGAAATCCGGCAGGTGGTGTCCGTCGGCGACGGTGCTGGCGCCCGGCGGCGGGCGCGCGCACTAGCGCGGCGCCAGCTCCAGTAGCCGCGCGGTAAATGTCAAAGCTGCGCCAATCCAGAACGGATGGGCCGCGCCGGTCGCAGCAGCCGAGGACGCCCCCCTGATTGGTGGTCCCGCGTCGCCGTAAATTCGCCCGTCGCGGCTGTACGTGCTACCTAACACAGCCGGAGGCCGCCGGCCGGCACCGCTGAGGGCAGGGGCGAGTGATCGACTGGCGACAGGCGGCTTTCGACTACGAGACACAGGCCGGGGCGAAGCCGTAGATCGACGTCAGGGGACTCCCGACGCTGAGAACGGCGCTGAGGTCACAGACCGGCGGCACGGCACATCCGCGACATCCGACGAGGTCAGAATTTGCTGCGCCGGAGCCGCAATACCTTGATGCCAGGCCTTGATGAGCAGGAGTCCCGTGGATCAGTGGCTTTGGTGGGTTTAAAGCGTCCGGTAGCTGATAGATCAGTGGCTGCTGCTGAACTGCCGCGAATGTTGCTCAGTGAGACGAAGTGTTTGCGTCCAAGTTATGCTTGGAAGTGCAGCCAGTCGTACTTGATTCTGGGCTGCCTGTATTTAAATGGCACGGGTTTTAATCAACGACGTTAACACCAATTGACCAATGAATTCAAAATCGAAGCCAATCCTCCGCCAGAACCTGCCGACCTTTAGTTGTGATTACCTGTTGTGACTGAAGAACAGCGACCCAACATTTAATTTTCTGGGTGGCGACCCCACCGGCTTTGTGTCGACATCGCGATTAGTACCCAACATGTGTAGCCAAACGCCCATAGGCTAATTAGATGCGAGCCTATCACCATAATTAATTGTTCCTCTGGGTCGTCATTAACGCGCACGAATTACGCTTCGACTTTATTTACATTTTATAAATATCATTTTGTACAAAATCAATGCACAATACAAGAAAACATTGCAGCGTATAACATATCGATCCTGCACGGCTTACAAAATATAAAATGCCTAGACTTAAGTACACCGGCGCGCGGCGCGAACGCACGCGATAAGGACTAGTTGCGGCGCTCGCCGCCAGGGTTCGGCGGCGCACTCTGTCGTGGGTCGCCTCCGTGCCGCACACTGAGCAGATACCACAGAAGCCACCAGCAGGGACGCCGGCAGCGCGGTCGGCCGGCGAGCCACCCGCTAGCTGCGACGGTCAGGCGGTCCCGAGCATTGTGCGGGTCGCAAAGAACTGAGCTTCGCTGGATGGACAACAAACAATAGGCCACTAACACGCTTTGGACGCTGCCCCCACGATCTCGGCGCATTTGGCATTGCAGTTGGCAAGAGAACACGAGACAGACAACCGCGGAGCGCCGGCGCATTCCACCGCGACAGAGCAGCACGGACGCGCCCCATCCCTTCCTCAATGAAATATATCACAGCTTATAAAATCTGTACACGGTTCATTTTGGCGATTCTGCAATTGGAATAGCGCGCCGCGAGAGCACTCCGTGACTAACGCTCAGTGACTAACGCCCCAACGACACCCAGGCACTACGAGAACCGAAACCGCGCGGCGGACCTCCGAGAGAGTGCACGACTGGGACGAGGCGACGGGCCAGCGCCCGATCCGGCGTCCCGACATCACACCCGTGCCTCGAACGGTCCGCGCGCCCGACCCCGACCCCTGGACGAAGGCGCGGCGCCGCCGCCGCCGCTCACAGCGCGCGCCACTAGCACATGGAGGTCTCCTCCCCCTCCATGGTGCTCTGCACGTTCTCCAGTTTGTGCGGCAGGTGGAGGCGGCGGCAGTGCTCGTCCGACTCCAGCGCCTTCATCACATCGTCAAAGTACTTGGTCACGTATATGTAGAGCTCCTTGAGCGCGGCGATCACGTCGAACTGGCCGAGGTGCGCCACTGACAGCCGCTGCATGTGCGAGTTCAGTTCCTGGTCCGTCACCGTCGGCAGCTCGTTGACGTCGCGGTAGAAACGCTCAACTTGCGACCGGTAGTGCGGTAGGTCCTTGGCGAACAGCAGCTTGTTGGACGGCGAGTCTTTACCGAGCCGGTGCTCGGACGTTGAGCACGCGTCCATGAAGGTCTGCGCGATCACCGTCAGGCACGAGTCGACCGTCACCGACTTGTCGATGTCGAACAGGAAGTCGGGGTTCTTGATGAAGTTGACCCAGAAGCGCAGCGGCAGCGAGTTTGATTTCCAGGCGTAGGTCACCTCCTCGCCGTTGGGCACGGCGTGGACCCGCGCCGCCTCGTCGAACAGATCGAACAGCCACTTGATGGCCGGCGGCAGCGTCTCGCCCGCGTCCAGGATCGTCGTGAGCAGGTCGTCGACGAACTTCTGGATGGTGCCCTTGGTGGAGAGCAGGCGCGTGAGGAAGATCTCGGGGATGGCCTTGTGGGAGCGCTCGCTCCGCTGGCTGGCGTACTCACAGGCCGGCCGCACCAGGTGGTACATGTTCACCTTGCGCAGCGTGCCGTTCTGTGACGGCGACACCGATGTCGGGATCGAGTAGACGCTCGAGTCTGTCGGCGGAGAGTGGTGGTCAACAGGGGGCCGGCAGGCTGCACCAGGGGACGCGTGGATGGTGACGCCGCAAGCATGCTCGATGCGAGCCTCGCATTGAAACGACGTTTGCGATGTTGTAACGTTAGCAAACGCCACATGCCGAGTTTTAACAGCTCAGATTCTTACGTAAGTAGTTCATTTGTTTCAGCTCTTTCCAAATCAGACTGTGCCGCAAAACTTGTAGCGTTATGAGAAGAAACTCCTCATTTCATGGGAACGCTTGCACAAACATCACGCGCACATGTGCGTATGCGCACGAGGCGACACCCTCTGATCTCAAGCGCAGGTCGCAGACGGCAGAAAACAGCTGAGCGACACAGCCGCCTTAACCAGAACAAAGGCTGTCGTGAATCGCTCGCCTCTCGCTCGCCCTCGCCCCATCTCAGTCTGGCCCCGCGGCTGCCGACCCGGCGACCCCTGGAGCACTCACAGGGACTCCTGGTGGCGGGCGAGACCTGGGAGGCCTGCCGGGGCACCAGCGACATCACGGCAGAGTCCTTGACGCCGTAGTGAGCCAGTGTGTTGAGACGGCGCCACCCGTCCACCATCTTGCTCGTCAGATCTTCATCGGCCAGCGTCAGGTGGCCGCCGCGCCCGTGGCGCCACTCTGCGACCGAAAACGACAGTTCAGCTTTCTCGCCCGCGGCTGGGTGGCGGAATAAGAAACGGTTCGGTGCTAATGAGCATCAAATATTGACATGCCCACACATAGTATATTCATGGGGGCGAGCCGCGTCTGCCGTTTCGTAGCCAGGCTGAGACTTACCCAAGTCGACCTCGTGAATCGAAGGCCGCAGCGTGTGTGGGGTGTTTTTGTAGAGTGCGTCCAGGATTTTCGACTTGACCTGGTTGATGGTGTCGCAGTCCAGCACGCGACACTGAACTTTCTCCTCCAGCTCCTCAGGAGCGATTTGAAGGGTCTGAAAGGGCAGCATTCGTCAGTGCTGGCGGTGCTCTAGGTCGCATAATAAGCCAAGAGATAAAAACGTAATACCACTAACGCAAGCCTATCATAAAACCAAAAACATGTTACAGCTGTGATGCAACACTAAAAAGCTGGAAACATTCCCCAATACAGGACAAATTTTGACACCTTAGAAAGTAAAATCGCCTAGTCATCCCAGCACACCTCATGCACTTGGGCTAACTAGAGTGTCTCAGAGAGTCAACCGACCGTGCTATCGTCGGAGGCTGGTGCTGCCGTAAATCGGAAGAGAGCGTGACGGCGGACGCGCCGAAACTAAAACACGGGAAGCCCGTACGATAGACCAGCTCGTAAAATTTAAAGGGGTTAGGTCAAGAGGTTATCAAAGAGTGTAGAATCCCAGGCAAGTTCAGACAAAAAGCATAAAACTTGACAGGCACGTTGCCAACTATTTTCAGCCGTTCATTGTTGTTTTGCTGACAAACGTTATCTTCTCGCTACCTGAATCGAACACTTTTCCGCCATGCATCACGTCCTGTTACCCAGCTTTTCAACAATTTTACCTGGTACATCTGGTACGGAATCTTTTCATAATGAGGATCCTCTTGAACCAAGTGTATCGTCTGTAAAGATCGGCAGATCGGTTAATACAATCCAACCAAATCTTCACGATTTTACTTGCCAACAGAACAAGATAGGGCAAATGGCACGCTACCAAAAACTAACGGTCCAATGTTATTCATGACCCATCTGTGTCGAGATTATCAAACTCCGTACGACAGACATACCTCATAAGCAATATCTCTAATCCCTACAACTGCCTCGAACCTCGATGTAGGGATATAAAATGGATACGAATGTTTCGAGTGCATAGTCGAGTCGACGCCAGTTAGCTGACGGCCACGCTGCATGGAACGTGCAGCTGGCCGGTTCCCAAAGGGCAATTACCAATTCAGACCTAATCCATCCAAACTAGCGGAGGGACACGGGTCCACACGAGCATTGATTCGGCTGGCGACGAAGGCGGCTTCTTCCCGACAGAAAACCCGCACACAAACGCACCGCCAGTCGCGCAGGAGCGTTGTCAGCGGCCGCGCGGGAGGGGGCGCTACTCACCACGGTGCTGTGCGGGATCTGCTCGCGCAGCAGGCGCTCCTCGGAGAGCGAGTAGCGCGCGTCGTGCGTGAGCGCGTCCACCGGACCTTTCTCCACCTGGTGCTTGATGGCGGCCGTCAGCAGGAAGAGGCTGGCGGCCGAGTCGCTGCGCAGGTGCTCGTACAGGCAGAGCGCCATCCAGTTGGTGAGGAACTTCTCCACCACCGACTCGGTGCGCCGCAGCATCAGCTGCGGGTACTTGGAGCTGATGGACTTGTCGATGAGGCGCAGCAGGAGCAGGCGCAGGATCTCGGTCGCGTACTCCATCTTGGACATCAGGATCACCATCAGCAGCGACGCCACGTTCACCTTGTCGCGGATGCTGAAGGACTTCTGCGACTCGAGGACCTCGATGAACGTCAGCAGGAAGTAGCGGTTGTTGATGAGCTGCTCGAACTGCACCATGGCCGTGTCGAAGTTGGTGCGCGTGCCGTTCACGCGCAGCTGAAAAGAGCCGCTTCGTGAGACGCTGGCGCGCAGTCGGCCACCAAACAAGACGACACGCCATTCAGAACCGGCCACGTGATCATTACTCTCGCAGTGCCGATCAAAGCACGCTCTATGACGGATTATCCGTGGCACCGGCCGGCGCGGCACCGTTCGGGGGAGCGCTCACCTTCGGATCGGCCAGGATCGGGTGGTCGGTTACGCCGGGGAAGAACACCTTCATCACGAACGTGCGATGGTCGAAGATCGGGATGCCGGTCGACTCGAGGTCCGCCGTGAGGTCCGTGATGTCCGTCTGCAGCTCGGCGAATGCTGGAAACGCGTGATGCCGTCAGCCAGAGCGCAGCACACGCTTGCCGAAACACGCCGAGTGAGACCCCGGCGGTGGTGCCTCCCACATGGCAAACTTGAGGCTCCATAGGTCGTCAGCTGATCTGATAACGCCCTGAGGACCAACCAAGCAACAGCCCCAACGACACCGCAGGCGCCATCAAGGAGCAAATATTGGCCAGCGGCAAACGAAACCCTCGCCTGTTCGGCTCTTTACCCTGGGCTAAGCTTAAACATTAAAGAAATGTCGACTTCCAGTGTTGCCGTCCTTACACCAAGTCAACAAAGAGAGTTATCTCAGCGCGAGTGCGTTCGTGTGAGCGCGTGTCGAAGTCGACGCACCTTGCTTGCACTCCATGCGCACGTTGCTCTCGAGCGTGTCCATCTGGATCTGGATGCGCTTGTACTCTCGCTCGGCCTGGGTCGACTTGCGCCGGTAGACGGCCAGGATCACCACCGACAGCAGCACCAGGATCACGCCCGAGACGGCGATGCCGCCCACCACCTCCGGCGGGAACGTGTACGGCTTAATCATCTCGTAGCGCAGCAGGCCGAGCGGGAAGCGGAGGTTCTCGCCGACGCGCACGACCACGAGCGGCACCTGCTCGGGCGTCGGCCGGCCCAGGTCGTCCGTGCCCGGCGGCTGCACCGCCGGCGGCGTGCACACCAGCTGGCTGAGCGCCAGCGAGGTGACGTTGCACGAGTGCGTGCCGATCAGCACCCGCATGTCCGACTCGTCGGCAGCCAGGTTCAGGTTCTGGCCCTCGATCACCAGCGTGTCGCCCTTGTACAGCTTCACGCGACCGGGGAAGGGCATCACGACCGGATCCTGCACGTACAGCAGCGTGCTCCGCATCAGCGCGCTGTGCTGCTTCAGGTTGCGCACGCCGGCCACGCTGTCCATGATGAAGCCGATGTTGAGGCTGAGCACGTCGTCGTGCGGCGGCCGCGGCGAGCGGGCGTACTTGGACGGCTTGCCGCGGATCTCGCGGCGCCAGCCCGCGCCCCGCACGGCGCGCGGGTCCACCGGCGGCGACGGACACTGCATCTGGGAGCTGCTCAGCACCCGACACACCTGGCGGCCAGAGGTCACTTCAGGTCAGCTCAGGTCGGGGGCGGGCCGACAGATCGGACGACGGGGACGAACGACCCCGAACAGCGATAATGCAAGCCGACGAGGAGAGGACTCGTTTAAAATACAACAACCGTGCTGCTCTGATCAGGCAATGACGATCATCTGAGTACGATCCCACGCCAGGCCGACCGCCGGGAGGGCCGGCCGCTAGCTAGCAGCCTGCAAAGCTGCCGGGCTGCGCACTTCCCAGATGTTGGGCCCGATATACCACAAGACAAATGGCAGCGTAAGACTCCATCACACAGCTCACTGCTCATCAGCGGAGCTTCTTAAGCCGCGCTCCGTTCATCTCGGCGATGAATATAAATCGTACGGCGGTTGGAGCTAATCACGCCGAGCGAGCGCATCCGATGATTAGCAGTGCTCTAATCCGGTCGGCGCGCCGCCATAAATCACCGACGCGCCGCGCTCACCGTGGCGTTGAGCACTTTCTGCTGGTCGTCGAGGAAGACAGTCATCTGCGGCTCCTGGATCGAGTCCAGGTTGGTGCCGTGCACCATGATAAGTCGGCCGCCGGACTCGGGCGACCGCAGCGGCTTGATCTCCAGCACGCTCGGGTCGCTCGTGTAGTTGAACGGGTTGCCGACGAGAGTACGGTTGGCCGCGTCGATCTGCAGCGTGAGGGTGCGCACGGAGCGCGTGCCGTCCGACGGCGCCGTCACGCAGCTCAGCTGGCCGGGGCCCTGCGTCACCGCGCACGGCAGGTGGTCCAGCCAGACGCGCACGCGCGAACCCACCGTCAGGTGACCGCCGGAGAGCGTGAGGCGAGTGCCGCCGCTCTCCGGCCCCGTGCGCGGGTGCACGTCGAACAGCTGGATGTCGTGGTAGCTGTACTTGACGGCCGACTCGGCGAAGCCGGCGTGGTTGCCGACGGCGACGGCCACGTTCATGGGGTGCGCGGTGGCGCCCGTGCGGCACACGATGCGCACGGACACCTGGTACTCGACCAGCGCGCACGGCACGTCGCCGACGAGGATGCGGTCGCGCACGTCCGCCGCGCGCCGCCCCAGGTTCGAGCCCTCAATGGTGAGCAGCGTGCCGCCCTCCACCGGCCCGCTCAGCGGGTAGATCTGCCAAGGACAGAGTCGGGTCAGAAGGGTCGGGTCACGGGTCGCTGACGCACGAGCGAGGTCACAGAAGCACGCGCGGCCTCCGCCGATCCGCGCTGCGGCCATACCTGGGGAGATACGCACCGGATCAGCGCGGTTGGGTCACAAGGTCAAAGACAGACAGGCAAGGTCACAAAGGGAGGGAGGACCGCGATGGCGGGCGCGCAGACGTCACGGTACGACAGCGCGATGTCGCGCCGACGACAGCTGTCCGATGGAAACGCTGCTATCGATCGATCACCGACAAAGGCTGGTACGAGCAAGGGCATGTTGATACAAAAACCGGCATGGGTTCTGCGGAAAAAGGCGCTCATTGTCACATACCGCGCGTGATCGCGAGCTGACATGCGCTAACCGCGCCCACGATTCGATCTGACCCGATGCGGCCGTTCACACTTCAAACGGCGCGGAGACGTCGGCCGGGCTCGTTTTCAGGACAAACACATCGGGCTTGACGTCTATTGACTAAACAAGTGGCCCCGGGGGAGGCCGCCCGTCAATATAATGGAAATAGCCGGATAGACCAGACGCCAATGCTGGAAGGGGCGAGGCCGGTCTAGACGCTATTGAGGCCACTCCGATGTGACAGAATAATGCGAAACGCGGCTACTTCCGCCAGTGGAAGTTCCGTGCGCAAACAACCCAGTAAACATCCACGCCAAAGCTTGTCACGTTAAACGAACGCCAACTGCCCCCTCTTACCGTACTTGGCACGGCTGAGGCCCACCAGTCGAACAACAACGGCACCGGCGAGGCTCACGCAAGAGTCACGCTGCGTGGTGAACAAAGAACATGCGCGAACACCAGGCGCGCTGAGCACCAGCTGCGTGGCAGAACGGGACGGGCACTCCGGCACTCCGGCACTCACCAGGTCGATGCGTGGCTTGGGGCACTCGAGCGCGGCGCCCTGGCCGCAGTCGGCGCGGTGCGAGCAGGCGTCGCCGCACCAGGCGCACTCGTAGCGCGATGGTCGCGTCACGCAGAGCGAGCAGTCGGCGTGGCCGCGGTGGCTGCCGAGCACGCCGCACTTGTACAGCGTCACGTTGGTGGCGTCCACCAGCCGGTCGCCGTCCCAGACGACCGTCAGCCGCGCCGTCAGCTCACTCTCGGCCGCCTGGTACGAGTACGAGGTCTTCTCGCAGATAACTCGCTCGCCGCGCTCTACGCGGGCGGGCACGCGCATCTTGGCGCCCTCGATTTCGACGATGCAGTGGAAGACGGCGGCGCCGCCCGGCTCGGGGCGCGGCAGGTTCTCTGCCTGCACCGCCACCTCGCTGCGGCGGCCGTTGGCGAGCAGGATCGGCGTCGGCGACGGCTTGAAGCGCGGGCAGAACGCGCCGCCGTGGGTGACGAGCGGCGACGGGTTCTGCCGAGAGAGGCACCGGGTCAGCGGTGGCGGCGCGCGGTGCGGGTGTGGGTGTGGGGCCACGTCGGGAGACGGTCTGTCGGCCGAGACTGCACGTGACGAGAGTGCAGAGTCCTTCCGACGGGGGTGAGCGTAGAGGGGACGGCCGGCGATGGTGGTGTAGCGTTCCGCCGAGAGGGGTTAGTTAAGCTACCGGGGACGGCACGTGATGACCGTGTGAGGTTCTGCTGAGAGGTGGGTCCGTTCGTACGGTCGGCACGTGATGAGGGTGTAGGGTTCGTCAGAGACAGGGGTTGCGTTAGCGACGGGCACGTGATGCGGGGCTCGACCTGTCAGCGGGGAGACCAGGAAAATGCCTGCCCTGAGCCCCCGAAGCGGCAACAAATACCGACGGCTCACGGGCGTGCGAGATATTTCGACACAGCTGATCAATGCAAAACACAGATTTTAAAGGGCGCGCCGACGGACGAGTGTTTGCCGTCTTCACGCGGATCGCCCGCGCCGCGGCCCTGCTGTCACATGTCACGCGGCGACATGGCCGGCTGACAGCCGACACACCAGCCGGCGCCGGACACCTCGCAGGCGCCCCCTAACCGGACAGCTCGACGGCGAGCAGCCGCCGGCCACCCGACGGCGCCCGGCGCTGCACGCCCGCCGCGCTGTAACCGGGCCGCCGCTGCGGAGCCTCAGGCTGCGGCGCCGTCGAGAGGCGAGGCGTCGCAGCACAGCCGACGCGTGATTTGGCGCGAGTATAGCATCGAGTTCGGGCGCATTTCTCCCGCGTGGCGGCGGAGACATTTCGCATGACGCCTGGCATTTTTCTGCAGGCTTCAAACTACAGGTGGGAGAGAGTCTCGCTTGTGTGAGAAAACGCTTCGCTGAGGTGGTGCTTCGCTGTCAGTCTGACCCAAACTCGACCGCGTTTGAGGCAAAACGGCGGCGTGCAGCCCGGTGGGGCCAACCCCCAACGGTTCGCGGCCATTCGTCGTCGCCGCTTTCGTTGGCCATAATCGCCTTTTTACGAGCGGCCGTGTCACCGATAAGCGAATTTATCGCCAAAACGGAGCAAAATCTGCCGGCGCCCATGAATACCGCGATGTGCCCTGGCAACCCCGCTTCGACGCGTCTGTGGCGTCGGCAACCGTGCCACCGACGGTCGCCGCGGGGAGGCGGCGAGGACGCTCGCAGGCGCCTGGCGTCAGGTAACGTCCCGCTGGCCGAGGTCAGGCACGCTGACGCCGTCTGCCGCGGCGCCGCAGCAGCCGGTCGGTCGGGCGAGCGGCGGCCGGGCCCAGGCGCTGTTCGGCCTGCCGGCGCCACTGGCACGGCATCGGCGGGAGTCCGCTCCCCTCTCCGGAAACACGGTGCCATTATACGCCCGGAGCAGCAGGCAGCCACCCCCGGGCGGCCGCGGTGGGCGGCCGCCGGGACAGCAGCCGACCACGGACCGAGGAGGGGCGGGGACGGAGGGGATGGGGGGGGGGGGGAGGCGGCGGACCGCGCTGCCGGCCGAAGCACCCTCGCGCTGCTGCCACTGGGGAAATGCGATGATTGAAAGAGTTCATTTTTCAGCGCTTTTCAGCTCCGTTTCGATGTGTCCGCCCAAACAGAGAGAGTCACGCGAACGGAAGGTTTTCCGGCTGGGCGTGCTGTTTGTTCGTACGTTGAAAATGCCCGTGAGTTATCGCTTGGGTCCGCTTTGGATGGCATTCATGCGCGTTTAGACGGCTCGCGTGTAGCCGGGTCAGGTTTCAAAAACGCCAGAGTAATCTACATAAATTACGCGGTTCATGAGCGCAATCAATAAACATGACCCTTTCTGTCACTGTTTCACAAATCATCCGAACTTTTACAGTTTGCAAACAGTGGCCCCGCCGGCAGAGCATCGTGCGGTCAATCGTTTCTGGTGCGCGCACTTCGCCACAGTTTATCGATCGAACTTTTACTGTCGGCCGCACCAGCGACGTATACGGACTGTTCTATTAATCTGCCGGGGCTAATGAAATCATTGCTGTTCCCTCGTCTCTGGTTGCATGCGATTCGTCGGTAAATCTTCCCCCGCCACTCTGTCTTCGTTAAGTTTTCATGGGGAGGGCCGGGCAGAGCAGACGGCGACGCCTGGCGAAATGCAGTCCTCTTTGGAGCGTGATAATTCGCCAATTTGGTGACAAATGTTCCGCGAAACTTGCCCGACAAACGGGTGGAAAATACGCCGAAAATATTCAACTCCACTTCACAGCCAATTCGCGGCCGCGCCGAAGCGCACGATGCAAATGAACAGGGCTCTTCAGAATGGGGAATTCGAGGGGCGGGCGCGCCGGCCAGCTTTCTCCTCGCCGCCAGGCGGGTCACGTCGCGCCCCTCTCGGCGGCGCCCGGGCGGCGGCCGGCGCCGTCTGCACGGCGAGGGGCGCCGGCCGACTGTCAGCGGTGATCGACACTTGCAGCCGCGTCGGGCCCGACGGCCCAGCCCCAGCCAATCAGACCATCTTAATCCAGCGGCAATTTATCAGAGCGGTGAGCTCGGCCCGGCGCCCCGTCGGCCGGCGCCGGCGCCGGCGCCGGAAAAACGGCTGCCGGCCCTGCAGCGGTCGGACGGCAGGAAACGGGCGAACACTCACCGCAGCAGCACGGGAAGATGATTGGGAAGAGGTGGGAGATGACAAGACAGAGCAAGAAAAGCAGAGTGGCGAGAAGAGCAGGGGGACGAGTGGCCTGGGAGAAGACGGGGAGGTGACGAAGAGGGAGAGAAAGAGGGGGGAACGCGTGGAATAAAAATGGAGAATCCGGGGAAGCGTAGGTTTCCCTCACACCCTCATGCAAATGCATAGCAGTGCCAGGGGTGCCAACACCCAGGGCGAAACAAACAGAGAAATACAGAAGGGCGGGAGCTGCGGGTGCCAGAACGACACTGTATTCACCCTAATGGACCATTTTCGCCCGCGGCGATGATTAATCGCGAAGGGTAGTGTTTTCCGACGGACCAGGACGAATGGTGCATTCCGTGCTCCCGATCCACCCGAGGGGAGGACACAGGGGCGGGCGAGATCCATCAGCTGGGCGCAGATAGGGATCCCGGGGAGATTAGAGAGAGCCCTGCAGATGTTAATGAATCGGTTCACGAGATGCTATGGGGACTCTGCTGTGTTAAAACCCAGCCTTGAGAGCACGGAACTGAAGGGGAGATAAGCGTTTCGCACTTCTACGCAGCTTGAGAACTAAGAGGTGTTTAGGCTCTAGAAATTCAGTTGCTGAGTGCTTTCTCTTGTGGTATCGCTCGACAGGTTTTTAGACATATTTTCCAGCAAACAATTTTAAGACTGAAACTTGCCGATGAAAAAAAATGCAACGAGGATAGTGTTTTGGCACTGGCGGCTTGCCGGAGGTTTACCAAACATCAAACTAAACGTTTAGAACTGGCCAGCCCATTGTTCATATCCAAACCCTATCAGCAGACTACTGAGGCGGGAAGCGGGTGGCCGGGGAACGGTGCGCCCCTCCACCAAGCTTCAGGCGTAAGGGATAGTAACTTATTTGGGCCTGCAGCCTTTTTTTTGCCGCTAGGAGTGAAAAAGAAACAGACTCAACGTCGCAAGGAGAACAAGCTTTGGAAATCCTCATCACTGAAGTGTCCAAAATCTGACCAAAAGGCGCGGTTTTCGAACAGAGTTTCGCTTCACCCGGGTACCCCCCCCCCCCCCCCCCCAAAGAACCAGCATAGTTTCCACGTCCAAGTCGCGGGCTCGTTGTCACATATGCTCGCCTCTTGAGCAGTTTAATTTTCAGAATCGCGAGCGACTCATGTTGAAAGCCTCGAGAAAGCAAACGTTCCACTGACGTCCGGAGAGCGCGTGCCAACGCCGTGACAGGCGGCGGCCATCTCGGTCAACAGCGGCGGACACGGCCGTCTGACACCAACATGAAGGGGCGCGACGCGTCGGCCAAATTGAAACCGCCCCGTGCAAGTGCCGGCGGCGGCGGGCGGCGGGCCGAGCCCATCCGACACGCCCTGTAATCACGCCCGCGCCGGTCGGCATGCAGACTCAATACTGGATCGGGTAAACAGGCGTGCTGGGCGGGCCGCCGGCAAATGAGACGTGTCCGACGCACGGCCGGCGAGGCCGACCGATGGGAGGCGGCGCCGGCCGCCGCACGCGATCAGGCGGGGGAGGGGGCGGGGGGGGGGGGGGGGGGGGGGGGTGCACGGGGAGCAGGGAATAACGGGAGAGATGCACAGGGAGGAGTAAGTATCAACATGAACACGCAATGCAATGTTAGCGCAACTTTGCCCGGCAAAATACAAAGTATGTGAAATTCCAGCGAGTCCAGGTTCCACTGGGCACAACACACGGTGGAGATAGCAGAGGCTACTCACGTGCTCCCGGAGGACGACGGTGCGGCGGCAGACGGTGGCGTTGTGCGTGCACACATTGTCGTACACGCACCAGTTGCACGCCAGGCCGAGCTGGCGCAGGCGCGGCGCACGTGGCGTGCCGGAGAGCAGTCGTAGTAGGAGAACTGGCGCGACACGAAGTCCTTGTTGGTCTCGGAGGAGCGCACCGAGAGCGGCACGGCCACGTGGTCGGCGCCGGCGGGCACGGCCGGCCGCAGCGCCGGCGGCGGCCGTTCGACAGCGACAGCCCCGAGGCGGGGACCAGCGCGTCCGAGGCGCCGTCTCGCCGAACACGCACTGGTACTTGGCGCCCGGCGGCAGCGCCGGCAGCGTGCGGATCGTCAGCTGAACCTGGCGGCACGAGACGACGTCGGTCAGCGCCGATGGCGACCTCCCGCTCCCCCCGGGCCCGTGGGCGGCTGACGCGGCTGACGCGGCTGGAGAGCGGCGTCGGTCAGCGCCGATGGTGACCTCCCGCTCCCTCCGGACCCGCGGGCGGCTGGCGCGGCTGACGCGGCTGGAGAGCGGCGTCGGTCAGCGCCGATGGCGACCTCCCGCTCCCTCCGGACCCGCGGGCGGCTGGCGCGGCTGGCGCGGCTGGAGAGCGGCGTCGGTCAGCGCCGATGGCGACCTCCCGCTCCCTCCGGACCGCGGGCGGCTGACGCGGCTGGCGCGGCTGGCGCGGCTGGAGAGCGGCGTCGGTCAGCGCCGATGGCGACCTCCCGCTCCCCCCGGACCCGCGGGCGGCTGGCGCGGCTGGCGCGGCTGACGCGGCTGACGCGGCTGGCGCGGCTGGAGAGCGGCGTCGGTCAGCGCCGATGGTGACCTCCCGCTCCCCCGGACCCGCGGGCGGCTGGCGCGGCTGGCGCGGCTGGAGAGCGGCGTCGGTCAGCGCCGATGGTGACCTCCCGCCCCCCGGACCCGCGGGCGGCTGGCGCGGCTGGCGCGGCTGGAGAGCGGCGTCGGTCAGCGCCGATGGCGACCTCCGCTCCCTCCGGACCCGCGGGCGGCTGGCGCGGCTGGCGGGGACGCGGCTGACGCGGCTGACGCGGCTGGAGAGCCAGC